AGGATAATTTCACAGGACATAAAATTCTAGGTTGGTGAGTGTTTTTCTCTCAACACTTTAAATATTTCACTCCATTCTCTTCTTGCTTGCATGTTTTACAAAGAGAAGTCAGATGTAATTCTTATTTTTGTTAACTATAGGTAACTCTTATTTTGCCTCCTTCTGGCTTCTTTCAGGACTCTTTAATTTTGTGCAGTCTGAATATGATAAGCCTAGGCATAATTATTTTGGTATTTATCCTGCTTGGTGTTCTCTAAGCTTTCTGGATCCATGGTTTAGTGTCTGACATTAATTTGAGGAAATTCTCAGTCAATACTGCATCAAATATTGCTTCTGTCCATTTCTCTTTTTTCTTCTTCTAATATTCCCATTGTGCATATGTTTACCTTTTGTAGATGTCCCATAATCTTGGATATTCTGTTTAATTTTTTTCAGCATTTTTTTTTTCTCTTTGCCTTTCTGTTTTGGAAGTTTCTATTAACATATCCCCAGGCTCAGAGATTCTTTCCTCAACTGTGTCTACTCTACTAATGAATGCATCAAAGGCATTCTTCATTTCTATTATATTGCTTTTGATCTCTAGCCTTTCTTTTTTATTCTTAGACTTTCTGTCTCAGTGCTTACATTACCCACCTGTTCTTTCATATTGTCTATATTCATTTTAGCATATTAATCATAATTTAAAAAATTCCTCATCTTATAATTCCAATATCTCTGAATATCTGAATCTGATACTTACTCTACCTCTTCTTTTTTTTTTTAATTTTTATTTATTTATGATAGTCACAGAGAGAGGGAGAGAGAGAGAGGCAGAGACACAGGCAGAGGGAGAAGCAGGCTCCATGCGCCAGGAGCCCGATGTGGGATTCGATCCCGGGTCTCCAGGATCACGCCCTGGGCCAAAGGCAGGCGCCAAACCGCTGCGCCACCCAGGGATCCCTACTCTACCTCTTCAAACTGTGCTTTCTGTCTTTTAGTCTTCCATAAAATTTTTTTCTTGACAGCCGGACATGATGTACTAGGTGAAAGGAACTGCAGTAAAAAGGACTTTAGTAATGTGGTGGTAAGGTGTGAGGGGAGAGGAAGTGTTCTATAGTCATGATTAAGGTCACAGGTTTTTGGGTTTATTTTTCTTTTTAATTTTTATTATTTAAGTATAGTTGACTGGATCACAGTCTTTGAGTAAGCTTTGGCCCTTAGCTGTAAACTTCATAACTGTTTCTCATTTCCACCCCTTTGGTGGGATGGCTACAGCAGCTAGAGTTCTGTATTTCTCTTCCCCCAATTTAGTTAGGCTCTGATAAAACCCCTATAGTTCAGGCACTGGTACATAGTTTCTTTTGAGGTTATGTCTTATTAAGAAGAAAAGAATACTTAAAGAACAGCATGCTCTGGTGTATTTCAAAATGGTTCCTTTTCCTTCCCCACTGCTGGAAGCTCAACATTATTCTTCAGTCTTCACTGGAAGAAGCTGGTAGAGCTTCAGGAGGGACAACTCACAAAAGTGTGTGTCCCACCCTGGAGTTTTAACTCCCTGACTTGTCCACATTGAGCCTCCAGCAATTCATCAATACAGTTCAGGCTTTCCTACCCCAATACTGATTCCTGTAGAAGTTTCTGTTCCATTAGGTTGTGGTTCTCTGTATTTTCCTGCCTGTCTCCAACTTGGGGGCCAGCAGTATGCCCTGTAATCTCACTTCTCTGACAGATCAAAGAAAGGGTGATTTTTCAGTTTTTTACATGTCAGGACAGAGTGACAACTTCCAAGCTCTTTGCATGCCAGAATGAAACTATAAGTCTGTGTTTACCTCTTAATAATTAATAAGCTATATATATTTATAATTTTTACATTTATAAATTATGTGTGTTTATATATGTATGTCACACTTCATTAAAAAAAAATTTTAAGTCCATGTACCATGTCGTTGCTGCATAGGAAGAGAATTTCAAGCTCTTAATTAAAAACTTACCACTGTCACTTTAAAGTTCTAAAAAAACTTTGCTATACAGTCATCAACAGATTTTCAAAAGGCAAATTAGAAATATAATCAGAAGCATATTCCATCTAGGCACTTACAGCTGGAATCACTGATAGGCCTCTTTAGAGTGGCAGGTTGGAAAAACTCCCTGAAGCAAAGGTAAAGAGTTCTGATGTCAAAGAAAAAGAACTGGGCCACTTCTCTACTATATAGATTAAAAAGGTAATGGTATTCCCATTTTCCCCCTCCATTCTGATGCAAATCTTTTCATTCAGAAGTCTTAAAGTAGTTCTCAGTGTGGGTCCAGGTTAATTTTAAAAAGCTGAGGTACTGCTTGAGGGCAGAAACTAGTTACTTAACCTCTTTTGTATCACTTACAGATTTAGCAAATTGAAAGGCACACTAACAGAAGAGTTTATATAATATTTCATAAAGTAAGTAAATGAGGTAAAAAATCAAGCACTTGGTGTGTGCATCTGTGCTTTTTGGAAAGGAAACAAATGAGGGTGTGGATCAAAGAACTGCTAAATGCTTATTTCCATAATCATTAGGCAACTAAATAGAAATATGTTTGCTAGGGTCACTGCACTGAAAGAATTAGGCTAAGAGGTTAACTAAGCAATCCATGCTAATGTCTGTAATCAAGACTGTACTTTAATCAGCTCTGTGAAACAGGCAACAGCCTGACTATTCCCTAGGAATGGAAATTGCCCCAATCTCACTCAATAACTCACTTTTACATTGATTTAATAATTCTCACTGTTGAACTGCTTCCTCAGAGTTTAAGACAAATTTCTCTTGAAACAGACAAAAGGCAGAAATGAAAACAGCTCTTGTTCTCATATCATGAAACAGAAAGGGTTTCTGGAATTCTGTGTGAAAACAAAACAAAAAACAACAAAAAAACAAGGATGCTCTACTATTTGTATAAGCTGCACTTGATTTCCTGATTTCTGAGAAAACCCAAGGAGTATTCTATGGCAGTTGTGTTTCAACTAAATATAACTTATGGGACCATTCGCATGATGAACCAGAACTAACATTTCCAAGTACTCCCTCCTAAGAGGCAGATTTAGGAAAGTATAGTTCTAAGATCCCTTAATCTAAAAGCATCATGTTCCAGTGTCTTTGGTTCTCTTATAAATGAAAAGAAAATTTGCTTGAAGATCCCTTGATAAACCAGATGTCAAGGCAATTTATGTTTTAATGAGAGTACAGAGTAAGCTTATTAAATTTAATGTTAACCGTTAAATATACTTATAACTCCAGTTCTTAGTATATCTCTTCTTGACAGTGTATGAGTAACACATGGACATAAGGACAGAACAATAATGAAAAAAAGAAAGATTATGCAAAATCTAATATAAAAGGAAAGAATTTGTCCTTGGATTAGAAAAATGTACAAAACCTTGTGGACTTTCCTCCCATGTTATGGTATTTATCACACCATACTGTCAAGGGTCTTTTTATAGTTTTTTCTCCTAAGAGCTTCTCGAGGACAGAGATACATTTTTATATTCTTAGCATCTAATAGAGTGCTCAGAGCATAGATGATATACAACAAATGACATTGTGCTAAGTATCCGCTTTAAATATCATAATAATTGTATGAGGTAGGTAATACACTACTCAGAGTTTATAGAAAAAAACCTGGGAAACAATACAGTTAAAGAACGTGCCCAAAGTCACACAACAGTCTAACTTCAAAATACATTGTCCTTAATTATTGTACTATACCATCTGAATAAATGAATTTCTATTTTGTCAAGTTTCTGTCTTAATAACTAATTTTATCTATTTCCTTACTCAGATATTAGCTGCATTTGTGCCTTATGTATCAGAATGACTATAACCTCAAGAATCACCAGAAAAACATAAGATTTGGAGACCAGCCAGATGATTTTAGGATCCAAGAATTATTTCTGGACTTCACACTTTCGAAGTGTGGTTCCTATTAACATTAATTATTTCTAAATACAAGTATACTGAATTTTTTCAATGTAACTAATTGTACTGTAATTACAGGAGACAAGTTGAGTAATTTATAATATAGCAACAGTAAAAACATGAGAACTCTTCAATAAAAAACTCTGAAAAGACTAGGAGGTTAAACTAGCCAACCTATTTTAAAGATAGCAGTAAGTTAAAAAAAAAAAAGATAGCAGTAAGTGATTTATATTAATTTAATAAACAATTCAATGAAAACTGATTTCTATTACTAGATTATGCCGTCTCATCTACATGATCCCAAATCAATGAAGTTATAAAATAGTTCAAAAAACAAATTAATAAAATATTTAATCTTCCATTCTGCTTAAAACAACCATTAATCTTTTGGGATACTCCACAGTATTATATAAACAAAAGTCTTTCCAGTCAGAAAAGAGGACTTCAGTAACATGTAATAAAGTAATATTTATTTTTCTTCAGATCAGAGTTAATAAAGGATATAAAGCCAGTCTTACCTAATTCATCTTATATTTTTAATTTCTAAATACACATGTGCACACATTACATATAAAATTATTTATGGAACTGTGTGTGAGATATTAATGCAAATCCAGTTAGGCCAATTTAGCAATACTCTTAAGTCTTCAAAACATGAACAAGGGACACCTGGGTGGCTCAGAGGTTGAGCATCTGCCTTAGGCTCAGGGCATGATCCCAGAGACCTGGGATCGAGTCCCGCATTGGGCCCCCTGCATGGAGCCTGCTTCTCCCTCTGCCTATGTCTCTGCCTCTCCCTCTGTGTCTCTCATGAATAAATAAATAAAAATCTTAAAAAAAAAAAAAAGAACAAAATGTAATAGAGCTGTAGAAAATATATTATTTTCGATTTAGTAAAGATGTCTAAAGTGCCAAAAGAGAACTGATATTTATCGGCTTGCTGTTGAAAATGATCATCTCTAATTTTCAACTGTCAGAATATAATGGAATCAAGTATACAGTAAAAATTGTCTTTAATTTTTAAGTTTGCTTACAGTAATGGAAATAAAACTTTTTGGTCAGATTTTTACATACCTTAAAAGTAGAAAGCCCATAAAGTCTCGTGGTATGAACAGTCTCTTGAGAAATGTTTGTAATGTTAGTTATAAAGTCCTCAAGGTATTTGCAAGCTTGTTCCAGGTGTGTTGTGTTTATGATGATCTGCACTAGCTAGAAAATACAAAATATATCTGGTAAAATGACATGTACACCAAATCATTTGGTTTTTGAAAATAAATTATTACTTTCAGCAACTGTACCATTTCTGCATAATTACAGCTTTATAGGATACAAGGGATTATGTGATTTCAAAACCTGGCTGCAAATACTATGGAATGCTATCATTCAAAAAAAAAATATGAGTCTAACTGCCAATTAATTTAAAATAACTCTTAAAAGTACTTTTCCAATATTATACACTTACCAAGCAAAAATCGGAGTATTTTCACTTTTCATGTAAAGTGTGGCTATCAAAAAAATCTACATATATGTTCTAATATCTTCAACTATTAACTATTCTCCAAGTAAACCCTTTTCCTTACATGGCTTGAATTTACACTGACAAAACAAATCCACTTCTACTAATAAATTTAAAATACATGGGATGCCTGGACGGCTCAGTCAGTTCAGCATCTGACTTTTGATTTTGGCTCAAGTCATGATCTCAGGGTTCTGAGATCCAGCCTCCAGTGGTGGCTCTGCGCTTAGCAGGGAGCCTGCTTCAGATTCTCTTTTCCTCTGCCCCTCTCCCCATAGATGTGCACTCCTCTCTCTCTCTAAGATAAATAAATCTTTAAAAATAAAATAAATTTTAAAATAAAAAAGAAAGCTAGTATTATAGGATGATGTTTAGCAATAACTTAATTCGTAAAGTTTTTTTCATATAATGAAAGATTTAGCTATTAAGTATTTTTTTTAACCTACCTCTGTCAAACCTATATGAGGTTTTCTAATAAGGTTCAGTAAACAGCTACTCAAAGTTCTGGTCAGCAGTAGATTTGTAGATTTCCTAAGCATATCATCTATTTCTGTTGAGCTAAAAATAAAGGTTGATTATTATTTCGCTTTCCACAAAGGTAACAGCTTCCTAAATGATTTAACACAGTTTAGCAAAATAACTTGCTCCACCTCATTCTTTTATATCTTTAAATAAATTACCCAGATTTATTAAATCCCCAAATTCAATTCTGTCACAAAAGGGACATTTTCAATAAAGTAGAATGTTTATTTATGGCATAAATTAAATGTATGCCATTAACTATTACAGTAAGACCATGCGGTACTTAGTATAAGGAAATAAAGTTATTTTTAAATTATAACTCCACTATGGATACTTCCAAAGACACTATACAACTATACATGTAAAGTCTGGCAATCAAAAAATAAAAAATACAACTATATTCAATACAACAAAAATACAACTATATTCAATCAAAAAATACAACTATAGCTAAAATTATTTTTTAAATGCAAATTGATGTGAGCCATTACTAGATTTAACTTTAATGTAACTAAGCTATCAATGTCCGTTGACATTTTTTAAAAAGGTTCAAAGAAATAAACATAATTACCTTACATTAGTTTTAACTTGGTGCAAAGAAAAAGAGAAAAAAATAAACCTCTGATATTTATTAACATCCTAAAGATTACTAGGCAAGCACTAACAAGCTTTTATTTTCTCCTAACCACTAGGCCTTCAATTTAAGTAAACAATTACTTCATATATATATAATATATATATATACATATATATTATATATATTATATATATACATATATATAATATATATACACATATATATAATATATATATATAGCTTCATTATCAAAAGAACTAAGCTATCCTTGGACTGTTTTCTCAGTCTCAGCACTATTAATATTTTAGGCAAGATAATTCTTTGTTGTGAGGCTGTCCTATGTTCTGAAGGATGTTTAGCAGCATTCCTGGCCTCTACCCAATAGATACAAGTAGCACCCTTCCCCCTAGTTGTGACAGCCCAAAATGTCTCCAGACATTGCCAAATGTAAAATGTACCTGGTGTGGGGTGAGGAGATGGAATTACTTCAGCTGCAAACCAACTGCTTTAAACATAGACTAAAATTTTAGCATCCTTTTTCTTTTATTAAAACATTACTCTTAATAATCTATGAAGCACAAATATTTACTAGTTTATATTTATTTTTAAAATGCAAATACAGCAGGGCACTTGGGTGGCTCAGTTAAGCGTCTGCCTTTGGCTCAGGTCATGATCCTGAGGTCCTCGAGTGGAGCCTCGCGTTGGGCTCCCTGCTCAGCAGAGTCTGGTTCTCCCTCTCTACGCTGTTCATGCCCACACACTCTCTTCTCTCTCAAATAAATAAATGCAATCTTTAAAAAATGCAAATAGAGCAAGATTTGACAAAACACAGGTATTTCTCACTACTACTCCAATGTTCTCCATTTTAATGGAGGCACTCTTTTCAGTATCTGTTAACCTTAATTCTGACAGACCTAAAAGAATATTTTCTTGATTCTTTACAACTAAAATCAAGACTTCCCAGACACAGCAGTAGGGTTTCAGGGTTACTGGACATCACCTTTGAATTTTTTTTTAATTTATTTATTTATGATAGTCACAGAGAGAGAGAGAGAGGGGCAGAGACATAGGCAGAGGGAGAAACAGGCTCCATGCACCGGGAGCCCGACGTGGGATTCGATCCCGGGTCTCCAGGATCACGCCCTGAGCCAAAGGCAGGCACCAAACCGCTGCGCCACCCAGGGATCCCTGGACATCACCTTTGAGACAGAAAACTCTTTCTAGGGATCCCTGGGTGGCGCAGCGATTTAGCGCCTGCCTTTGGCCCAGGGCGCGATCCTGGAGACCCGGGATCGAATCCCATATCGGGCTCCCGGTGCATGGAGCCTGTTTCTCCCTCTGCCTATGTCTCTGCCCTCCCCTCTCTCTCTCTGTGACTATCATAAATAAATAAAAATTAAAAAAGAAAAGAAAACTCTTTCTAATCATATCAACACTGTCCTAGAACAATCAGTGTACTCACTCTGTTAAAAAAGAAGTAGTTGCCTACTCCTCTAGTTTCTTTTTTGACACACTCAGATTATGCTTAAAGACACCCTGAATAGCATACTTCTCAAATGAAAAGTCATGCATAGATAATGCCTGTTGTTTAATTTCCCTGAACTTCCTTGAATGCTAAGTCAATGAATACTTTTTTTTCTTGCATAAGAAATAGTAGAGAAAGAAAACCTACCAGCACTTAAGTCCTTTTTGTGCTAACAAGATGTACCTGACAATAATCAGTATTTCCCCCATCAGGTTTTTATATCAACTGAGCGATTTTTTTTTACTTAACTCCTTGTCCTTTGAGCCTATAACTTGTACTTTTCCCACATTTTAAAAAACATTTCAGAGTAATTAAATCTTAATTACAATAAATCTCTTAAAATATTTTATAGCTTAACCTCTTAGGCAAACTGAAAATTTCTTATAGATCATATTAGGTCCAGATGTTTCCTCTGCAACCAAATAGTTGAGACTTTGAAGTCTCTTCATGAAGTCATTTCATTCTCCAGTCCTACTTTTATTCATATATAAAAAGAAACCCAAACATTTGTACTAAAAAAGCTCTGAAGCATCTTCTGGTTCTAAAAATCAAACTCCAAAATATGTTTAAACATAATAAAAGAGCTTTAAAACCCAGAAAGTGACTTTTTCCAGAACTTTTTAATAACAAATAAAAAAAAAAACAAAGGTACTCAAATAGCTCAATTTCAGGTCACAGATATAATTTTTTTTAAAATAAAAATATGTGGGATCCCTGGGTGGCGCAGCGGTTTGGCGCCTGCCTTTGGCCCAGGGCACGATCCTGGAGACCCAGGATCGAATCCCACGTCGGGCTCCCAGTGCATGGAGGCTGCTTCTCCTTCTGCCTGTGTCTATGCCTCTCTCTCTCTCTGTGTGTGACTATCATAAATAAATAAATAAATAAATAAATAAATAAATAAATAAATAAATAAATAAATAAATAAATAAATAAATAAATAATAAAATAAAAATATGTGTCAGAAACCTGATGACCAAGAATAAATTTATATTTACATATTTTTAAAATAACTATGCTGTGTCTGTCTCTGCAGTCTGAACTACTGATTCTCTTATTAACAAAATGAAAATAGCCAATGTTTTTAATAAAATATAATTTCAAAAGTATAAACATAAGCCTTGTTGAATGAACTTATGGTCATAGAGAGTTCATTAGAATGACTAGATATTGGGGATCCCTGGGTGGCTCAGTGGTTTAGTGCCTGCCTTTGGCCCAGGGCGCGATCCTGGAGTCCCGGGATCGAGTCCCATGTCGGGCTCCTGGCATGGAGCCTGCTTCTCCCTCCTCCTGTGTCTCTGCCTCTCTCTCTCTCTCTCTCTCCCTCTATGTCTATCATAAATAAATAAATAAATAATAAATCTTAAAAAAAAAAAAAGAATGACTAGATATTGAACTAACAAGAGTGACAAATATTTTTATCAAAGAGAGGAAAAAAATTGACAATCTTCTCTGCTATAGCTTTAGGCCACAACACTGACTTCCTAGAAGGCTAGGAGTTAACAAACAAAAAGAGTCAGAACTGAGGTCCCAATTCTAGTTCTAGTAAGCCATTAGTGGACTTTAGGGGAAATCATACATAATATTTTAACTGATGACTTTTATCTTTGGTGTTATAAATGCAACAAAAAAATCAGGTAAAAATTAGATAGCCAATGTCTCTCCTCTGTAAATAAAACAAAAATTAATTCTAAACTGCTAAGTTGCTATACTTTCTATAGTTTAATAATACATTAATTAGATATCAGTCTTGGGCAGCCCCGGTGGCGCAGCAGTTTGGCGCCGCCTGCAGCCTGGGGCGTGATCCTGGGGACCTGGGATCGAGTCCCACGTCGGGCTCCCTGCATGGAGCCTGCTTCTCCGCCTCTCTCTCTGTCTCAATAAATAAATAAAATCTTTAAAAAAAATTAGATATCAGTCTTATTTTTCAATAATCAACCTTTAGATTAGGTAATAAAAAGTATGTGTTAGGACATGCAAATTGTAATATACTACCAATTTTAAAAATGTTAAAGTAATCTCATTAAAGTAAAAGATGAGGGGAACTCAATATTATAGAGTTGAGACAGCAGCTTCAAGAATAATCCTCAAATAGAAGATTTGAGCCAAGTTGTAGGATGACTATTAAAGAGATACTTCTTGTTTCTCCCTTTCATGTGCACATGTTTAGAACAGACGAATGCATGCATTGTTTTCAAAGATGACTAAATATAACCAGAATCCATTTGACAGTATATAAAGAAATTCAAGTCCACCCAAACATAAGTCAAATTGTTACCTTCCCTTAACAATTTCTTCTAATTATTCACAAGCAGAAGGTACTATCACGTTCCTAAATACTTGTTTATGTCCCTTCCTCTGTCACCACTGATCCTATTTCAGTCTTTCTTCATCTCCCTTCTTAAACCACTGTCTTAACCAGTTCAACATCACTATTCCTTTTTATCCCCCTCCAATCTATCATCCACACTGAGATCAGAGTAAACTCTGTAGAATATAACCTAGTAATGTCATTCCCTTACAAATTCTTCAACAATTCCCTGATGCTTAAACTATAAACACTCTAAGCTCCAATACTTATATTGTAGTATTCCATCTTCTCTGAAGTAACTATGTGTTTACCATATGCTAGGCACTATACTGAGTGCTTTTTTTTTTTTAAGATTTTATTTATTTATTCATGATAGACAGAGAGAGAGAGAGAGAAAGAGAGAGAGAGAGAGACAGAGAGAGAGAGAGAGAGGCAGAGACACAGGCAGAGGGAGAAGCAGGCTCCAAGCAGGGAGCCGACTCGATTCTAGGTCTCCAGGATCACACCCCGGGCCGAAGGCAGCGCTAAACTGCTGGGCCACCGGGGCTGCCCCTGAGTGCTTTATTATACTTGCACTCCCTTATTTTATTCTTACAACCACACTATGAATTATTTCACTTACTTTACAGACAAGGAAACTGCAATTTAAACAAATTAAGTAACTTGTCCAAAGTCCTACTAGATAGAACTAGTCAGTGTCACCATCAAGACTCAAACTAAGGACCAAGTTTGAAATTTATATTCTTAACCACTGTAATATATTGCCTCTGTCAAAATCAAAAATTTAGAGAGTTAAATGAAAAACAAGATAGGCATAAATTACTAGTAGCTCTCAGACCATTTGAGTTCCACTACTGAAAACCAACACTGTAGTAATTTGTTACTAATTTTCAGTTAATATTCCTATATATACATTGGTTTTCAAATGCTAGATTATATGGTGTATATCCTATTGTGCAATAGAGAAAATACAGTGTCTCTAGAGAATTTTACAATTGAAGAAAAAGCTAATGTCTTTGAAATATATCTTTAGAGACATTGGTATAAGAGGTGGTAGAGTACAATGAAGCTTAAAGAGCTTAATGCAGTGTTTCTTCGGGTGTAGAGTACATTAGACTTACCCAGAGGACTTGGTAAAACCCATGGCCCCACCCTCAGAGTTTCTAATTCAGTAGGTCTGAGGGAGCATTTCTAACAATTTGCATGAGATGCTAACGTTGTTGGTCTGGGGACTACTGGCTTGTGAGAAACACATAGCACAGCAAATGCCATGCATTAGGTATTTATCCTCCTTTCTTTTCCTTTCCTCTCCAACTCATATATTATTCAGGAACAAAAATTAAGAAATCTTTTAAAGCACTTCTATTTGCAAGGAAAAAGCAGTGTAAGACCTAAAATCAGATCACTCTTTACCCTGGCAGAACACACATTTCTTCCTCTTTATTTGCTCTTTAAATCCAAAATATGGTAGCTTACGATAAGAGACACCGATAAAATAAAATAAAATAAAATAAAATAAAATAAAATAAAATAAAATAAAATAAAATAAAATAAAATAAAATAAAATAAAATAAAATAAAATAAAAAATAAAATAAAATAATAAAATAAAATAAAAACTGTCATTGTTCAGCTTCAGCTTGAAAAATAAATGACTTATATCTGAACTGCCTTCATGCCTTTCTTATGACTTAAAATTCAGAAGTTTCACAGTGAAAGGTATTTATTGCTACTCAGTATACAAATTCAGAAAAATAAAATTCAGAGAGGGAGACTATGAAAGCCAGTTTCACCACTCTCTTCTCCAGAGTGTATTCATGATTAGAAATATATCCTGTGACTGTAATGCAGGGTCCATCTCAGTAGCTGGAACAAGAAGGCATAAAGATTAATGTTCTTCTAATATGAACTGATTGTTCCTTATATGCCAAACACTTTCACTGATAGGGGAGTCAGAAGACCTACTCCGTCATCCCAGCTATCAAACTAACCAGGTGGGTCATTCTGGATGATGGAGACTCTGAGCTTCAGTTTCCTTGTCAGTAAAACAGAGATACCACATTTCTGAACTCCATAAATATAAGCTAGTACTTTTATCACACCAAATAAATGGTATTCTCTCATCTAAAATCAAGTTCAGGGGATGCCTGGATGGCTCAGTGGTTAAGCTCTGCTTTCGGCTCAGGGCCTGATCCTGGAGTTCAGGGATCGAGTCCCACATCGGGCTCTCTGAGGGGAGCCTGCTTCTCTCTGCCTATGTCTCAGCCTCTCTCTGTGTGTCTCTCATGAATAAATAAGTAAAATCTTTAAAAAAAATAAAATAAAATCGAGTTCACTACAGCCACCAATAACTGCTATACTGCTCTCCATTACAGAGTATGATACAATTTGCTACAACATCCACTGATTTTTTTTATTTATTTTTATTTTTTTAAGATTTTATTTATTTATTCGTGAGAGAGGGAGAGAAAGAGAGAGGCAGAGGAGACACAGGCAGAGGGAGAAGCAGGCTCCATGCAGTGAGCCTGACGTGGGATTTGATCCTGGGTCTCCAGGATCATGCCCTGGGCTGAAGGCAGGCGCTTAACCGCTGAGCCACCCAGGGATCCCAACTGATTTTTTTTTAATCCTCACTTTAAACCTAATTAAGGGAAAACAAAACTATTAAGAATATCAGCTTCTTTTAACAAGTAAAGTAGGGATATTGTTTAGGTACTGGTAATCTGAGCAACAGAAAAACTAAAATAAATATGATCTAAACAACTAAAGAAAAAATAAGGAATATTGGAAAACAAATTTAATAAACCTTATTTGGACCCTGATTCAAATATACCAACTACAGAAGCCCAAATGTCCAAGATAAATGAATAAAGATGATGTGGTATGTATACACACACACACACACACACACACACACACAACACACACACACACAGAATATTATTCAGCCATAAAAAGAATGAAATCTTGCCATTTGCAGCAATATGGATGGAGCTACAGAATATAATCCTAAATGAAAATAAGCCTATCAAAGAATGACAAATGCCAAATAATTTTACTCATATGTAGAATTTAAGAAACAAAACAAATGAGCAAAGGAAAAAAAAGAGAAAGAGAGAACAAATTGATGGTTACCAGACAGGGGGATGAGTGAAACAGGTGAAGGGGATTAAAGAGTACACTTACCATAATGAGCACTGAGTAATGTATAGAACTACATTGTATACCTGAAACTAATATAACACTGTATATTAACTATACTGGAATCAAAATTAAAAACTTAATTAAAAAATTCTAAAAAGAGTAACAGTAGCAAACTGTTATTAGCAAACCAATACACCAATGGTAAAAAGACAGTTTGAAGACAATCAAGAAAATAGTGAATATGGAGTAGGGAACTGATATTATGGAATAGTGTAAATTTTGTTAACTATGATGATTAAATAATGAAATGTCTTTTTTTTTTTTTTTTTTTTTAGAAACACATACTGTTTCTGGGACTAAAATATCATTATTTCTAGAATTTGCTTTAAAATATTTAGCAAAGGGGTGCCTGGATGGCTCAGTCAGTTATGTAGGACTCTTGGTTTCAGCTGAGGTCATGACCTCAGGGTCATGATGAGATGGGAGCCCCATGTGGGGCTCTGTGCTGAACACAAGAGTCTGCTTGAGATTCTCTCTCTCCTTCTGCCCCTTGGGTGCACACAGGTACTCTCTCTCTCAAATAAAATATTTTTAAAAAATAAAATACTTAGCAAAAAAATTAATATGGCAAAATGTTTATTATTGTTACAGATGCTGAAAACACAGGAGCTTCCTATCTCTATTTTTATGTTTTAAGATTTACATTATAGAAAGTAAAAAAAAAAATCTAACATCAAATTTACAGCAATTTAACCCCAATGTTGCTAAATATGTAAGCCTCTCCAATGAGATAATAATCCATTAAAGAATCAAGGCCTGAAAAACAAGTGTTAATGTTTCATAAAAATAGCTATGATAAATATATATTTGTTATTAGTAAACTTACCTCCGGTGAAGTGACTCTGAAAATTTAAGGCTAGCATAAATAAATTCTTTAACTTGAATGTAAATATGAGGCACTGACTGAGACATGGGAAATTTCTTTGGGAAAGATTGCTGTAGAAAGAAAAACAAGTTAATATTGTTTTTGAAATTTTAGAAAAAGATATTCTAATTACCTAAAAATGTAAAAATTAAATTGCTTTCACATTTGAATAGGAAATAACTACATCTCAAAGTCTTACTATTAAATTGTTTGAGATTTTAAAGCAAATCAAAATATTTCTGAAGAAAATAAAGTGGCAATTGACCTATTTCCTAAATCATATTATCACACTTCTAAGAAGCAGAAAATGCATATACTAGTACCACTGTATGTTCTGATAAGTATCCTGCAGAAGATGCCTAGCTGCCTGTTGATTTGCATTCATAACACAAGAGTCAGGTTGGCCATGAAAGTTATGGGCCATCTTCCTGGCTCAGTATCGTCAATTAATTCTAAAGACTCACCTCATTCCCCTTCAGAAGGCTTGACACCAATTTAATAACATACCCATTTCATCCCATAACTCCTATAGTACCTTAACTGCAGTGTGGCCAATGATTCATAGAATGCCTTTTGGCTAAATTGCTTTATCAGCCAACATCTATTAGCAAATTCTCAGTCTCCAAAAGGCAAATTCTCTCTAAGATTTTTACACAAAGCCCCATTTATACTTAATGAATTCTAATCTATACTTCCATCTTCATGTTTATTGCAACCTAGCTTAACCAGTGAAATTACTCTCACTCACCAAGATGTCTAATGATCTCGTAGATGTTAAATCCAGTAGACTTTTCCAGCTCTCATGTTACCTAATTTATCTGAAGTATCTGACACAGTTCCCTCCTGCTTCTTAAATGATCTCTCCTTCCTTGGTACCCATGCCCCACACTGACTTTCCTCTTATTTCTCTACCTTCTCTGTATCTCTTCCTCTAGTCATCCCTTAAAACTATTGCCATGCCTTAGAGTTCTATCCCATGTCTTCTTTTCTTACCACACATATTCTCCTTGGATGATCTCATCTAACCTCATGACTTCAATCATCTTCCAAGTACCATTATCTCCCAAATCTACAACTCCAGACTAACTCTCCTGAAGTCCAAATCTATACAACTAACCACTACTTGGACACCTACCATTTGGCTGTGACATTTGGGACATACTCAGTAGATCCAACAGTGATTATCATCCTTTACTTCTAAATCTGCTCTTCCTGTGCTTCCTATCTTAGTGAATGCTACTATTCTTTAAGGCAGGAACTTGGCTATCATACATGGCCCTTCTATCTTCATCATCCCTCATATGCAAATAATCATCAACTCCTCTTGTTGCCCCTTCCTAAATATCTCTTTAAAAAAATTCCATGACCATAACTCCCACTCAAGTCACCAATCTCTCTCACCAAGATAACTGCAACAAACCCCTAGCTAGTTTCCCAGCCACTAATCTTCCTCTTCACCAATCCAATCTCCACACATTAGCCAGAGAGATAGAGAGCCTGATCTTGAAAGATAGAGAGAGAGAGAGAGAGAGAGAGAGAGAGAACATGTGAGTGGGAGAGTGGGAGCCAAGGAGGAGAAAAAATCTTAGGCAGGTTCCATGCTCAGCCAAAGCCCATCTCAGGGCTCAATCTCATGACTCTAAGATCATGACTTAAGCTGAACTTAAGAGTCTGACATTTAACTGACTGAGCCACCCAGGTGCCCCCAGAGAGATCTTTCAAAAGCACAAATTTGATTATGGTTTTACTGCTTAAAACCTTGTTGTAACCTCTCAGTAGCCCTCAGGATAAAGGCTGAATTCTCTAACATTGTTTACAAAGGCTATTATAGTCTGGCGCTTTCTACTTCATCTTCGTTTCCTGATCTTCATCTCTTATACTTTATCAACCTTGCACTTTATACTACAGAATTAGTCTTTTTGCATGCTGCTTGCTCCGTCTTAAGTAGTACCAACGTCTATGAATTGTAATTTCCTGTTTATCCCTCACTTGACTACAAGCTCCTTGAAAGCAGAGATGAAAAAATAACCAAATAGCACAGTGTCTACCATATAGCAGGTGAATCATAAATATGTGAATGAAAAAAAAAATAAAATAAAAATAAATATGTGAATGAACAAAGGAATTCTTAGGTATCTCCAGCACAAGGAAACTTACAACCGGCTGCTGATGAAAAATTCATATACAGCAGTGTCTCTCCAAAACTAGTAGGTTCAACCTTTCCAAATTTAGAAATCAATCAGGAGTACTACAAAAAACCAACCAAAAAGTTGCCATTCTTTAAAATCACTTGATAATGATGTAAGTGCTAACTTACCTCCAATTTATGTTCTACAGAATAATGAACTCAATACTATTTGAAAGATATTTCAGATTTAAGAATTTATTTTAATGACATTTAAAGACAGAATATGAATATGTTCTGGGTTTAGCAAAAGTATTCTAATTAAATTAGCCCAGTTATCCACAAAAAGGCAGATCTCTGCATATATGTGCAGTCTTACTATTTGTTCATATGTAATTTACACTGAAAATATAACTAGAGTTATCTGACAGTTTTACATCTTTTCTAATAGTTTTAATTGAAAATTATAGTCAAATTAGGAAAAAACTTGAGTTTATCCAATAATAATAAATAACTTTATGAGACTTCTTTTTAAGTTCACGCATTTTAATTTCCACAGCTTCTACTTCAACTCTAGTTCTTTTTTTAATAATATATGAACCAATGAATACAACTCCTAACGAGCTTAGTCCTAAGAGGTACTATATACTTTGGAAGCATTCTATAAGCAAAGTCAAACTTCCTTCTAACTATAAACCTACTTAGAATAATTTAGTGTAATTAGAAAAGACATTAAAGATTTTTTTTAAGATTTTATTTATATATTCATGACAGACACAGAGGGAGAGGGAGAGAGGGAGAGAGGGAGAGAGAGAGAGAGAGATAGAGAAGCAGGCTCCATGCAGGGAACCTGATGTGGGACTCAATCCCGGATCTCTAGGATCACACCCTAGGCTGAAGGCGGCGCTAAACCGTTGAGCCATCGGGGCTGCCCCATTAAAGATTATTTAGTTTAACCTTCTCATTTGACAGATGTGGCACAAGCGCCCAAATATGGTAAGTCATCTGCCCATAATAAGCCATAGGCAGAGCTGGCATGTGAACCTGGACCAAATCCAATGCTCTTTATACAGATGCTATACCCTAAATAAAAGTACTACCTGTAACTAAAACAAAATAAAACCAACCTACAACATGTAAAAAATTCTGATCTTTTGTGTATAATTAGAATATAACTATTATTATATATGTAATGGCAATCTTAGCTATAATCTAAAAGCTATGCATTTAATTACATGGTCTAGTTTAGTGACTATTACACATAATATGCCTAGTTAATGTATACCAAAAAATTAAAATTTACAGTCACAGGTTGCACAACTCACTCAAAATTCACTCATTCTTCTTCATTGTGAAGAAATAAAAATGCAGAGAAGAACTAAATTATAGAGTTGGAAAATAATAAAGATGAGTAAAAAGAAAAAAAATAAAAAAGTGACAACAGAAAATACAATATCCTTTTCCCAGGAGATCTGATCCTACACAGAGATACTGGATAGGTCCAATTGTGTACTTATGCATAGTATGAACACACATGTGCCATCATATGTATTCTCACAATACTCTACATGTAGTCTATTTTCTTTCTCTATCCTGTCTTTTGTTCAGACATCTTGACTCCAAAAATATATACTCCTACTCCAGGAAAAAATATACAGGCAGCAACCGCCTTTATACACCTCTTATTTAATGAAGATAAACTTTTTGCAAAAGTGTATGTCTAGAAAAGAAAACACAAAATAAGATCTTCCATAGTGATGAACATTTTAAATAAATTCTCCTCTCTTTCCCTAAAATATACTCTTATTCTTTTAATCTACTCAACATTTACTTTATCTAATTTGAAATCCACATAATGTAACTAATACCTGTCCTGGGAATCCACCTAACATTTGGGACAACTGCTCCTAATATCCCCAGGAAAGACCCTTCTTAACTTCACAAAAACAGTAGAAGTAGTAGCAATAACATAATCTTCAAAAGTTAACAAAACATAACTGATTTTCTCAAATAACAACAAAAGCCTCAAAAGAGGCTGCTGTCATTTACAATGTTAATATTATGTAGCAATAACTATTATGAATTTATGCTTAAGAAAATTCTTGAATTAAAAACTAGCTTGTACCTTTTCAAGGTCTGGATCTTGAAAGGGAAATTTACTGATGACTGCTTTATATTCTTCTTCATTAACAATAGGGATGGGACTATAATTATCTTCCTCAAAAATATCCCTGTTAAGAAGAAAGAGAGAATTGAAAAAAAAAATTTTTTTAAGATTTTATTTTATTTATTCATGATAGACACACACACACACACACACAGAGAGAGAGAGAGAGAGAGAGGCAGAGACACAGGCAGAGGGAGAAGCAGGCTCCATGCAGGGAGCCTGACATGAGACTCGATCCCTGGTCTCCAGGATCGCATCCTGGGCCAAAGGCAGGCACCAAACCGCTGCACCACCAAGGGATCCCCGAGAATTGAAAATTTAATATTAAAAAATGTATCACTAGAGTGATACAGGATAATACATTTTTTAAAAGACAATTACTGCAAAAGCATTTTTATTAGACAATTCTAAAATTCAATAACAAATAAACCTTGTCCCTCAAAATTCATATGTAATCTCTTCTTCCCACTTGTTTTACATCCTCTTAGCACTTTAGTTTTAGTTTTTTACTCCAGAACAATTCTTTTATTTACTTATTTAAACAATTCTTTTTTAAAAAGATTTATTTATTTATTAAGTAGTTGTGCTACTCAATTGCTGATCAAACTCACAACCCCGAGATCAAGAGTCACATGTTCCACCAACTGAGCCAGCCAGGCACCCCCTAGAACAATTCTTTAGATGTGCAGTCTGAACAAACTCATTATCTATAACTAAAATGAAGAGTATTCCAGTTGTATATCTTGATAGGACAATTCTCAAATTGTAAGTTTTTTCTCTCTTCCCAACTAGATTATAAGTTCCCAGAAGATGAAAACAATGTTCTCTATTTAGTCTTTCAAAACTGTTGTATTTACAAAAGGACCCCTTATATTTAGTAAGGTAGAAACAGTTACTACTCACTCAGTACCCATGTGCTCTCTACTACACAGCCCCTTTGCAAAGATGCAGAGTTCTATCATCAGTTTTGGCCATTGGGTTGTGAACAGAAGTGATAGGTATTGTTTCAAGTCTAAAACACTTACAAGCTAACTGTGTGAGTCTTTCCCATAGTGATAGGGGAGACCACATGCTGAGAATGTAGAAATACAAATGCAAACAGCCTGGATCGTGGACTACTAGACCCATTAGGGACTTCTATGGGAGAAATAAAATGTCTGCATTCATCTGCTTAGATATAGGGCATTTTTTGTTACTGTCACAAAACCCAAACTGTCCAAACATACTTGCTGTCCAATCATCAACTTTCTTTTAATCAACAGTTTAGCTTGACTAATATTTATTGAGCACCTATTGTGTGCCAGGCTCTCGGATAATTGTGATGAAAATTCCCTACTTCATGAAGATAAAGTCAAGATCTTTGTTCTCAACCTAATAGGAGATACAGATATGAAAACAAATAATAGTGTTTATAATAATGTACTATACATACAATAAAAGAGGTGTAAGGTTCAGAAATAGCACAAAGGAAGAAATGATTTAAGTTTATCAGGGTAGGAGGGGGGTATCTCATGGAAAGAGTTATAGAGAAGCCATGAGCTATGTAGGATCTTTCAAGATGAAAAAGAAATACTTCTAAAGAGATTATGGAAGAACAGCATTTCAGAAAGATGGAACATAACAAGCAAAAGCATTAGGGTAAAAAAAGTATGAATGTGGAAGGGAATAAACCACCGGTAGTGCAGCACTACTGGAGTATCTAGTATACAAAAGACATGGTGTAAATGAGGCCAGGCAGGTGGACAAACTGAGGCACCTAGATTTTATCCTGGAGTACCATTAATAGGTTTTAGGCAGAGAAATGTCACATGTCCACTATGTGGATGATAAACTGGAAAGGACAATAAGGCACAAAGAGGCCAGTGAGAAAAATTGAAGAATAATCTACATAAAAGGTGATGAGGATCTGAATTAAAGCTGTCCTAAGGCTGCCCTGGTGGCTCAGCAGTTTAGCGCCGCCTGCAGCCCAGGGCTTGATCCCGGAGACCAAAATCGAGTCCCAAGTTGGGCTCCCTGCAAGGAGCCTGCTTCTCCCTCTGCCTGTGTCTCTGCCTCTCTGTGTGTGTGTGTGTCTCTCATGAATAAATAAATAAAATCTTAAAAAAAAAAAAAAAGCTGTCCTAGTGGGGGCAGAAAAAAAGGGGCAAAAATAAGAGCTTTAAGAAGAAGAATATATAGACAGGATTTAAAAACTAAATGAGGATTATGAGGGAAGGTGTGATCTGGATGAATTTGCGGTTTCTAAATAGGGCAAATGGACAAATGATGTAAATGTCACCTCATTAGAGACATCTGCTGAGGTAAGGAATATAAGAGGATGATACAGCTTCAGCAATGGATGACTGATATCTCACTGATAAATGGGTCTGGGGTCTTGATGAGAGGCTGGAAATAAAAGCTCAGGTTTGTAAATTGTTACAGTACACGAAGTACTTACAATGAGATTGTTCGGGAGTAGGGAGGAATAAGACTCTTACTCACTTTAAATACTGTGAGAAGCTTCAACTAATTCTATTTCCTTCTAAATAGCACTTTAAAATAAGGAGTTAAAAGGAAAACTATACTTCAGAGAACAAACAGATGGTTATCAGAGGGAAGGTGGGTGGGCGATGGGTGAAATAGGTAAAGTGAATTAAGAGTACACTTATCTTGATAAACACTGAGTAACACAGAATCGCTGCACCACTATACTGCAAACCTGAAGCTAACATAACACTCTATGTTATAACACTAATTAAAATTCCAGTGTAGAAGACTACTAGAAGACCATAAACTATTTTACACAAATGCCAAGGAATCTATTAATATGCAAGGAAAGATAATTTATTGAATGTACATTCACATTCTGAAAATGTTAATGTAGTCTTAAAAGGGACTGTTTACTGAACTGAAGTCTATAAACATTTACTGAGTTCCTATGCTGTGTAAAGCACTATACTTGGGGCTAGGCAATCAAGAATATAAACAACACTGATGTTCACAATATAGTTAGAATCACACACAGATAACCTATAACAATAGTTAAGACTATAAATTCTATCACAGAAATAGCCAAGTCTTAATTATTCAGTACTGATAACTTTTACTTTTTTGCCATTGTTAGGCTGTCACTTCACTACTTGTAAAATCTTTGAAAATAAGGATAAGGATAAGAAAAGCTTAAATTCTGCTACTTCTCTTATTTGTTTCAAGATTTTATTTTTAAGTAATCTTTATACTTAAAGATTTATACTTTATACTTAAAGCCCCAACATGGGGCTCAAACTTACATCCCCAAGATCGAGTCACATACTCTACCACTTAAGCCAGCCAAGCAACCCTCTGCCACTTCTTAAAAATCTAAGCAAAAAGTGTGATCTATAAGGGATACTGAAAGTAGAAGCCAAATATACTTGAGAATTATGCATTATAAGTGACATGCTATCATCCATTATCCTCCCTGTCTACAATGGAAGATAACATTAATCCTATCTCCATCTAAATGAACCCATTAGCTTCCCAGAGAGAAAACAATACCTCATGGTCTCCTCAATCTTGGGGAACACTGACTACTAAAAGTTTGGGTTTTTTTTAAGATTTATTTTATTTATTAGAGAGAGAGAGAATGGGGCGGGGCGGGGAGGAGTGAGCAGAAGAGGCTCTCAAGCAGATGCTGCACTGAGCAACAGGGCTCCATCTCATGACCTTGAGATCATGAACTGAGCCAAAATCAAGAGTCAGACACTTAACCAACTGAGTCATCCAGGTGTCCCCTCATACTATATAAGTCTTATGATAAATAAGAGAAAATGGCTGGCTCAACACAAATCTATCAGCAATTGTAAAAATTTAAATAATCTTCTGAAGAGGGCAATAACATCAACCCTGTAACTGAAGATTATATGTGTGTGTGTGTATAAAGATTTTATATAGAAAGATGTCATATTATCATATTACATCATAGCATATACATTATAGATTACCAATAAGCACTACCTGTATTTCTAAAATACTAAAGATCAAAAATTGTTGACACTTATACATGTTTCATCAAGACTGTCAACTTTCCACTTGAGACAACATCCTGACAATATAACCCTTAAGGAATGTTAATACAAAAAGTGCAAATAAAAATTTATTTGGTTGATTTTATTTTTTTTTATTTGGTTGATTTTAATAAGCGTATCACCTTGTGAACACCTAAGTATTTTTAAAAGATTTTTATTACAATATTCAGAAGGTCAACACTACTCAGTTTTGAAAACTAATGAGGCAAATGCCAACCTACATTAAATTCTTTCATATATCCTCTGTTTTACTCTCATCAAGTATTATTGCCATGTCATTTCTATCATATTTGGATGACCTAGATGTAAGATCTCAAGACTTACAAGTTTTTTTGAAAGAAAAAAAGAAAGGAAGAAATGGAAAGAGGAAAGAGGGAAGAAGGGAAGGAGGAGAGAGGGGAAAAGAGTTTTAGAATTAGGGAACAGATTTCTCTTTTCACGGCAATACAAAATTATATAGATCTTAAAATACTTTGTCCATTCCCTACAAGCAAGTGATTAAAGCAAAAGTAATTTTCCTAATTAGATCCTTTAAAGATTTTATTTATTTATTCATGAGAGATAGAGAGAGAGAGAGGCAGAGACATAGGCAGAGGGAAAAGCAGATTGCCTGCAGGAAGCGTGATGCGGGACTCAAGCCCAGGAACCTGGGATCATGACCTGAGCCAAAGGCAGAAGCTCAACCTCTGAACCACCCACATGCCCCTGAGCCACCCATGTGCCCCACCTTAAAGATTTTTACTCTAGTTGTTTGTAAAAATAGCACTTTCTTCAAATAAAATTTAAAATTTATAAATCTCTATTTCTTTTTTTTTTAATTTTTATTTATGATAGTCACACACACACACACACAGAGAGAGAGAGAGAGAGAGAAGCAGAGACATAGGCAGAGGGAGAAGCAGGCTCCAAGCACCAGGAGCCCGATGTGGGATTCGATCCCGTGTCTCCAGGATCGCGCCCTGGGCCAAAGGCAGGCGGTAAACCACTGCGCCACCCAGGGATCTCTAAATCTCTATTTCTAATACTAAATACCTTTGAATACTTACAGCCTTATATCTATTTATTGGGGGAAAAAATTCAGAGATTAGAACTAAAAGCAGTACAATTAAAAATTTATTATAAACTGTTCAGCCACTGTGGAAAAATTAGTATGCCAGTTCCTCAACTTATTAAACATATATCTGCTATATAATCCATCAATCCCACTTCTGGATATATACCCCAAAGAAATGAAAACATGAACTCAAACATATATTTGTACATCAGTGTTCACAGCAGCATTACTTGTAACAGCAAAAGGTGCATATGACCCAAATACCCACACAGATGGATAAATAAAACGTGGTAATATCCATATAAATGGAACTGAATTATTCAGCCTTGAAAAAGAATGAGATACTGATACAAACTACAACATGGATGGACCTTGAAAATATTATGTTAAGTGAAATAATCCAAATACAAAAAAACAGACAAACATGTATGAGTCCACTTATATGAAGTACCTAGAGTAGACAAATTCATAGAAACAAAGTAGAATGGTGATTGCCAGGGAGTAGAAGGGACTAGAGAGTTAATGTTCAATTGATATAGTTTCAGTTTGGGAAGATGAAAAAGTTCTGAAGGATAGTGGGGATGGATGCAATAATATAAATGTACTTAATATCATGAAACTGTACATTTTAAAAAGGTTAAAACGGCAAAATTTGCTATGTATATTTTACAATAAAAAATTATTGTAAGCATTTCTCATTGCTAATGTAAAATCAATCACTTTATCATCTGACAAACTTTTTCACTGTTACATTAAGGTTTTATGGCTTTTAGACTAACCTGAAAACTCCAGCCCATTTCTTAAGAAGTGTTTCATTGTATTGATCTCTTATTTCAAATAAAAGGTCAAAAAGTCGGTTCACTGGAAAACCATAACCCTAAAACACAACAAAAGCAGATAAGCAAGTCAAATAAGTAAAGATATATTCATTAGAGAAATGTTGGGAATACTAAATAATTGTTTAAAAGTGATCACTATATCATATTGTATGTCATTCCAACAGTATGAAAAGAAGATATCCTTTTGACTCTCTACTAGATTGCATTAGGTAAGAAAGAGCCTATAAAGAGTTTTATGAAGCTGGAATAATGTTTCCATTTCTTCTCTCTCTTTTCAGTCTGGATTACATTGTTAACCTTAAAAAGTATCAGAAGTCAAAACTGGAGAAAAAGTTCAAGATAAGTGATCTACATAATGGCGTCTTGGAAAGTGGTCCCTAAAAAGGATAAAAGAAGAAAAGGGAATATATTTTGTCTGAAACACGTTGGCTTCCTTTTGCACCTTCAATTTAAGATCAACTTCACTGTAGAGGGAAAATGTACATCTCTGCATCAAACATACACTCTCCAAAACTTTATTACTTTCTAAACCCAAAGTCGTTGAAATTTTACCCATTTCAGTACCAAACATTTCTTAACCTCACAGAGTTGTCCCTTTTCCCTTCAAGGTTTCCCTCCTCTTTATTCTTAATCCTACCCCTGCAGGAACTACTCCAAGGCCTATCTATTCACTGTTGTCTTTAACTTCCACTAGTTCCTTTCTCTTAGCTAGATAAATATGCTAATTACCTCCCAACTTTAAACCAAGTAAGAAAAAACAAAAAAGCCCTTCTACTACAATCTGCCATTCCTATTCCTTTAAAACTGCAACAATGTCACAGATTACCTCCTAAATATAAAAGTCAATATCTTACTCTACCTCTTTTAAAATTTGTCTGCTTTGAATTCTGTAACACCACTCTCTCTCCTTTGTTCTCCTCTTATCTATGAAGTCCTTCAGTTTCCCTTTTTCTTCTATCTCTATCCTTACATTCTTCCTCTAGGTCTCTAGCATAATCTGAAATCTACTGACCTCAAACACTATTTTCTCTGATTATTCTGAATCTACATCTCTAGTTATGCCTCTGGAAGTTCCAAATATTTAATTCCAACACCTGTTAGATATCTCCAGTCAGTCTGCCAAGAAGCATGCTAGAATTAACTTATTTCTTCCCTTTCCAGCTAAACAAAGTGTTTTTCCTATTTCCTGTGTAATAGTTCTACCATCAATCCAGTTTATCAGGTAAGAAACTTGAAAAAAACATCTAAATGACCCCACAGACAAACATATCTAATCATTTACCAAATTCTTTTGATTTTATCTCCTTCACAAATCTCAAATCTGTCATTCTTCTCCATCACTTATTTTTTTTCCAGAAGTATTCCCAGTGCCACTGCTTTATTTCAGTCCTTCACAACTCTCGCCTAGACCAGTAAGAGCTTCCTAAACTGAAGTTCCAACCATCTGTCTCTTTCAACTCAATCTATTGTCAAGACTCCAAATTATCATTTAAAGTACAAATCTGATCATGTCATTCCACTGGTTAAAAACTACCAAAGGCTTATTACTAAAGTCCCACAAGTCCTGCCATAATTTGGGTTAAACTACCTTGTCAGGTTCATTACCACTATTTGCCTTTCTGTGCTCACACCCATCTACTATAGTTTCTTTCACAATCAAGCTGCTTGACCAATCTCATGCTCATCATACTATCCTTCCATCTATAGTTTACACATGCTATTTAATTTTCTCTGCCATTCATGGCCCTTTCTTGATATGTACTTGCTGAACTCATCTTTTAAATTCCAACTCACATTTCAACTTTCGATACAGACTTTCCCAACTCCTGGCATCAAAGTTAGATATTCCATCTTCTGCAAGCCCAAAGCTTTTTAATATACTGCTATGTTAATATGTCCTATACATCTTGTTTACAACTAAACTGTAAATTTCTTGAAGGATTTTTATATCCCTACTGTCTTACTGATTTTTAAGTCTGTATCGTTTTACACATCACCTAGCTACTAGCATATGGTGGGTGCTCCAAAAATGTTAGTGCATGAATCATAAATGTTTACTTATTTTTTTTAAAGATTTTATTTATTTATTCATGGGGGGGGGGGGGGAGAAACACAGGCAGAGGGAGAAGCAGGCTCCATGCAGGGAGCCCGACAGGGGACTCGATCCTGGGTCTCCAGGATCACACCGTGAGCCAAAGGCAGGCGTTTAAACCGCTGAGCCACCCAGGCTGTCCTAAATGTTTACTTCTGATTGCTTATTAGGCAATAAACAAAACTATAATATGCTGGTGTTACTTGTTAATGTTATTTAGTCAGCTTTAAATAATAAAATGAAATATGAAAAGAAAATTTTCCTTAGGGTGGCAAAGTGTCAATTTTAAAAAGTAAATATCAAGCAATATTTCTTAGTTTTTATGAAAAGACCCTCCCCAATTCTTCAATTAAAAGGTACAACTTGGAACATCCCTGGGTGGCTCAGCGGTTTAGCGCCTGCCTTCGGCCCAGGGCATGATCCTGGAGTCCAAGAATTGAGTCCCGCATCGGGCTCCTTGCATGGAGCCTGCTTCTCTCTCTGCCTCTCTCTATGTGTTTCTCATGAATAAATAAATAAAATCTTAAAAAAAAAAAAAAAGGTACAACCTGGAGGGGGGGCACCCAGGCAGCTCAGTTAAATGTCCATCTCTTAATTTTCACACAGGTCATGATCTCAGGGTTGTCAGGCTCTGTACCGGGTGTGGAGCCTACTGGATATTCTCTTTCCCTCTGCCCCTCCCCACCTCCCTCACTAAAAAAATAATAACTTGAGAAGTCAGCATTTATTAATTATGTATAAGGCCCACAGAGTATGCAGCCTGTCAATTTTCACTGGAATGAAAATACTGCAGGATTTCTGAATAAGTAAGTAATAAAGGAGTTTGTCCATATTTGTCTTCCTGAATCTTATTTCAAAGCAGTAAGATTAGAAAGGTATACTTACAAGGGTTCATACATCTATTACTGTTACTTTCTACTGCCTCTATTATATCTACATATTGTCTATCCCTTTCCTCTGATTCTCTAGAGATCCTTGGAACCACAGCACATATTATATACCACATTCAGTTGTACCCAAAGTGCCAGTTCAGAACAGTCCCTCATGGTTTATAAAGAGATAAGGAGCTTGTATCAGAATACAAATCAATGCAGCTGATCTACACAAGAAAGTCTTGCTACAAAATAAATGCCAATTGAGGTAAGCTTTGTACTTAGTGATGTAGTTGACTTATATCCTGAAGGAAGTTCCTTTTTGCTATGGATCCATAAGAGCTGGTGGACTAGTGACTTTTTCCAGGCCAGCGAGTGTTATCCCCAACATGTCTTGAGTAGTAATGTTTTAAGTCATTAAGGGCAACAAAACTCCCTTAAGTTACTCAGAGATAGACCTAAAAAAATTAAGGTACTCTCCGATAAGACTTACCAGAAGTTTTTATTTTGCAGAGAAATCAGTATTACAGATTTATGAAAAAAAATCCGCATTATCCTGATGCTACAGTATAAGGCACAGAAATTAATAAAGATATAAGATAAAATAATTGACTAAAGTAGTACGTCAAATCTTAGATTTTTTTTAAATCTTCTTAGATTTAATAATCAAGTAGATAACTATTATTCTAGGATGAAGACTCTTGTGATGAAGCAAATAGTTTAAATTAGCATTTCCCAAAGCATATTATATAAAGTTCTAGATCTACAAGATGTCATATGGGGGATAAAAGATTCAAGGGTCAAATATACTGGGAAAATACTGCATAAATACCTTCCTTTTGGAATCATATGGTATGAATCTGCTCTGAGAAAGGCTTTTATTTTTTTATTTTTTATTTTTTTTATTTATGATAGTCACACACAGAGAGAGAGAGAGGCAGAGACACAGGCAGAGGGAGAAGCAGGCTCCATGCACCGGGAGCCCGACGTGGGATTCGATCCCGGACCTCCAGGATCGCGCCCTGGGCCAAAGGCAGGCGCCAAACCGCTGCGCCACCCAGGGATCCCCTGAGAAAGGCTTTTAGTGGAGAAATCTGTTTTACTTCACTTATTTCCCAAATGTTTTTGACCACAGAACTCTTTTTAAAGCAACATCTAAAAAAATTTTTAAAAATAAATAAATAAATAAATAAAGTAACATCTATTACCATACTTTGGAAAATGCTAATCTATGTTTCATGAAATGTTCTTCCACCCATAAAAATCCTGTAAGTTTAAGCATGAAAACAAAATGCAATTAATTCTTGACCATCCATGATCAAAAAAAGGGACAAGCTTAAAACTTTGTTACTGAAAATCACAAAGGCACTGAATTTTGAGACAATTCAATTTTAATCTTATTTTAAAAAAAGAAAAAGACAGAAGTAAAATGATTTGCTCAGTCATAGTACACCTGAAATTAGGAAGGAAATGAGTGGATACAGATTTCAAACTACATGTTTTCATATTTGTTATCACACTTACAACTCAGAACAATCCCTAAAACTAGTAATAAAATCATTTTCACCAGTGAGGATCTAAAGCTTAGAAAAATTGTAAACAAAAAAAAAAATTGTAAACATACAATTAGTCAAAGCAGAAGTGAAATATAAACTCAGGGTCTTGTGTGACTCCCAGAGCCCATGCTCACTGTCCTAAAGCAGATCTTGTATCTTCTCATTCTAGTTCAGAGTTCTTTCCACTACACTCTACACTTTTTTTTTAACTATAAAAATATCTAATTAAACAATCTATTCTAACCGAATGACCAATATTTTAAAAGATGGTAATATTTCCCTAGCTCTGTCCAAGCTTCATAATCAGGAAGCAGCAGAGAATTGAAAAGCCTTGGAATACCAATACATAAGCACACATTTGGTTACTACTAATTTTTTCCCATTAATCCATAATAAAATAAATGAGCATGGTCTGTATTTTGTATATCCTTACATGATCAAAATAGGCATTAAATGAAAATTAGAATATTACCCACCTGCAAAGTATCCGCAAATATCACAATGAGATTCTTCAGTTCCAGAACAAGGTCAGGATCAGTACAGTAAGACTGGGGGAGGGAGGTGAAGGGATGGAAATAGAAACAAAGAAACAAATATAAACCAGGATCATTTGATTAAAAACAAATCAAACCTGAAAAGTTTTCCTTTAGTATGCCAGACTTATTATAAATTTAAAATCTTGATTATTAGTTAGATCCATGGCTGGCTTCCTCTATTCAGTAAAAATTCTTGGGGAAAAACCATAACAGAATGTACCTGAAGTATCCGTATTACATGAAATGTTATTCCAATATAAGAATGACAACTGAAGATTCTTCTTATTAATTCACCAAAAAAACTAATCTGTTTCAAAAGGATAGTGAAACTCATTCTGTCCCCTTAATAGCATTTAACAAGATTTTTAGTGTGATATGTTGCATTTAATACCTTATGACTTTGTATTTGATGTCATATAATTAGTAGGAAGCACGCTATAATTTTACAAATTCAGAGCTGGTCTGAGTGTAAACCATGAAAAAACATCGTTCTTCATTGGTACGTTAGAAAAAGTTATAATTGACTGGACAAATACTATATAAAGAATCTACAATCCTGATAAATTAAAAATATAGTATTTTTATAATCTAAATACTACATAAGCTAATATCCCTTTAAAATATTTTCAATCTCTATTCTCAATAATAACAGTCTTTATAAATAACACTAACATATTATTTCCACAAAAGGTGTATTACGCAAATACTTGATCATTTTACTTCAATTCATTTAAAAATTACATAAAGGTTCGTTATTTCAAATGAGTTCAAATTTTGACAATTGCATATTTTTAGGATATTTGTAACTGTGTTACAGCAAACAAATTATAAACATCGAAGAACAAGTTCAATTGAGTTTTAATGGTGGAGTTTATTTTGGAAACAAAGAATTTGGAATGATAATTAAAAACCCTTTCTTCACAGTGCTTTTCAGTGATCTAATGAAGAGGTCAGTTGAGACTAATGAGACCAGCTTAATTTTTCATTTTCTATAATGCTGGACTAAAAGTGCCTTGAGAAGCCCCAGTCAGTTGCAAAATCAAAGCTCAGTGTTACCAAACAAAAGCCTAACATTACTACTTCCAAATCTAAGCTGCTATCAAAAAATGCAGAAAGATGGAGTTAGTTTTCTTCTGCCATTATGCATTTAGGAAGTTCTTGAAGTAACTGAATTAAAAATTTAGTAACATAATTTGTCTGACTTACTGAATGAGCTCTAAGGACAGCAATTATCTTTGAGAGGGCCATGTTCCAAAGTTCATCAGTGTATGCCCTGGTTACTAATCCTTGGGTCACATGTAAAATGTGATCTTCCACCACAAAGAACCTAAAAACAGTAATTACCAACATACTGTATGTTAAAAAAAAAAAAAAACAAAAACAAACAAATAGAAAACAAGCAGCTCTGACATTTAACATAAAAATAATAGTTATTTCCAAATTAGATACATACCCTACAATTTGAGTGAAATATCTTCTATACCCATCAACAGTTTCATGCTTTAAATGAAAAATAAAAATAAATTTAAACCAATAAATACTGGTAACATAAAAGTAAGTTTCAAGTCACTACATCATTTATTAACAAATAATTACTGAGAATCTACTATATGCAACATACATTTTTAAAGCACCAGAGATATGCTAGTAAAAACCAGAAAGTCCTTATCCTTATGGAACTTACATTCAAAAGGAGACGGACAATAAACAAGTTAAAAAGTAAATATAATTTCAGAACCCTCTTCTCAATAAGCTAGTTCAAGCCACCATAATTTCTCACTTGGCAGAATTTCACTACGTGAAAGTTCTCACATAATTTCTCTCTCATCATTCTCCTACCCAGTCTCACCAGCTTTCAGACTTGCTCTCTACAGTCTATTCTCCAGACAGCTATCAGAATACTTTTTAAAGAGTAATCAGATCTTGATATCTTCTGCTAAAAACCTTCAATGACTTTATATCTGATTCATAATAAAAGTCAAACTCCTTAAAAATGACCTGTAATTGCATGTTAATAGCCTTAACAAAAGGCATATAGAAAAATATTTTATCATTTGAATTTCATTCTTAGTTTATTACATGAAATATTTCACTATTTTAATTAAGTTTAAATGTTGTATTCTGCATATTTCATAAATGTGATAAAAATTTTCAAACATCTGGGAAGTTCTTTTCAGGTTGTTGGAAAAGAAATGTTTTTTTTACCTTTTAGCTTTAAAATACTATGATCAGGGTACTGGGCGGCTCAGTGGTTGAGCATCTGCCTTTGGCTCAGAGTGTGATCCCGGAATCCTGGGATCGAGTCTCTCATCCGGCTCCCTGCAGGGAGCCTGCTTCTCTCTCTACCTATGTCTCTGCCTCTCTCTCTCTGTGTGTCTCATGAATAAAATCTTTCAAAGATAAAAGAAAATACTATCATCAGAAAGAAAGGAGTTTATACGATACCAGATGTTTGATATCTCTTGATACTTCCTTTATAACATTTATAGTCACATTTTATAATGTGCCATGTGTGCTTGAGAGGTTGTTTTACAGTTGTTACAGTAGGCTTCTACATGATTCATTAGATCAAGTCTATCAAGCATGTTGTGTATTCTTACTGATATTTTATGTGGTTTATTAGATACTAAGACATACTTAAAAATCCACTATGGATGTTCTTTTAGTTGTGGCAATCTGGCATTATATATTTTTAATCAATGTTATCAAGTGCTTACAGGTTTCAATTATCATTTTTTATCAACTCTAAGACATGGATATTTTATTTTCTATCATTCTAGGTCTTTTTATATTATATGAAAGTATACACCCCATTTCTATTCTTTTATTGGTTACTCCAGAAATTACATTATGCATATTTAAGTAATCAAAATCTAAAATCATCAGTATTTTTACTCTTTTGGACAATTCAGAAAACTGCAGCATAGTTTCATTTTATTAATTCCCACATCATGTTTATGCTTTTGTTGTGCATTTTAATTCTATCTTGTTTTATTTTTTTAAGATTTTATTTCTTTATTCATGAGAGACAGAGGGAGAGAAAGAAAGGCAGAGACACGGTCAGAGGGAGAAGTAGGCTCTATGCAGGGAGCCTGACACAGGACTCGATCCCAGGACCCCAGGATCACGCCCTGGGCTGAAGGCAGCACTAAACTGCTGAGCCACCTGGGCTGCCCTAATTCTATCTTGTTTTAAAGTCCAGAATATTTATTAACATTATTTTCTACAACTGACATAGATTCATCCACATATTTATACTTTCTTTGCTATTCACTCCTTCTAGCATCTCATATCTTTTATTTGACACCCTTTTCTTTTGCTTGGAATAGATTCTTTAGAAATTTTCTTAATAAGGATATCTTAGTATCCAATTCTCTTCTTTGTCTGAAAATGACTCTCTCTGCCTTTGTTTCACTAGGTATAGAATACCAGGTTAACAGTTATTTTTTTTAAGATTTTATTTATTTATTCACAGACACAGAGAGAGAGAGAGAGAGAGAGAGAGAGAGAGAGAGAGAGAGGCAGAGACACAGGCAGAGGGAGAAGCAGGCTCCATGCAGGGAGCCCGATGTGGGACTCGATCCCGGGTCTCCAGGATTACACCCCAGGCTGCAGGCGGCGCCAAACCGCTGCGCCACCGGGGCTGCCCAACAGTTATTTTTTTAGCATTTTAAACATTCCATTGTTTTCATTTCTCGTGAGTAAAAACCTACAAGCAAGACCACTGGGCTGTATGATAAGTGCATGCCTAACATTATAACAAATTGCCAAACTATTTTCCAAGGCAGCTGCATAATTTTTAGAACCACCAGAAGTATACGAGAGTTCAGTTGTTCCGTATCTCACCAGCACTTGCTATTATCAATCTTTTTAATTTTAGCCTTTCAAGTAGGTAAATAGTGGTATCTAATTGTGGTTTTAATTTGCATTTCTCTGATGAAAAACGATATTGAACATCTTTTCATGTGCTTAATTTTCATCTATATATCTAGTAAAATATCTTCTTTTATCCATTAGTTTGTCTTTATTTAGTTACACAAATTCTGAATACAAGTCCTTGTTAAACACAAGTTTTGCAAATATTTTTTCCCCACCTGTGTCTTTTCACTTTCCTGACAGTGCATTTTGAAGAGGAGTTTTTTTTTTTTTTTTGAAGAGGAGTTTCTCATTTTGTTGCTCAATCTATCAATTTCTTTCTCTTATGGTTCATACTTTATGTATGTCACCTAAGAAAATACTGTTTAACCCAAGGTCACAAAAACCTTTCTTTTTCTAAAAGTTTTATAAATTTAGCTCTTGCATTTAGGTCCATGATCCATTTCTTGAATTGTTGAGGTAAAAGTCAATATTCATTTTTTTGCATATGGATAATTTAATTATCTTATGGTCAAAAGACATACTTTGTATGATTTCAAGTCTTTTTTTTTTTTAAGATTTTATTTATTTATTCACAGACAGAGAGAGAGACAGAGACACAGGCAGAGGGAGAAGCAGGCTCCATGCAGGGAGCAGGATGTGGGACTTGATCCCGGGTCTCCAGGATCACACCCCAGGCTGCAGGTGGCGCCAAACGGCTGCGCCACTGGGGCTGCCCGATTTCAAGTCTTTTATATTTGTTGAGATTTATTTTATAGCCCAGAATATGCTCTATCTTGGTAAACATGTGCATTTCTGCTATTTGGGGTAGAGTATTCAATAAATGTCAATTAGCTTAAGTTAGCTGATACTATTTTTCACATCTTCTATTTTCTCTTTATCTTTGCATTCTGCAGTTTCACTGTAAGTTCTTTCTGAGTGTATTTATTTTCATCTTACCTACTTAGGATTCCTTGGGCTTGAATCTCTAAGTTTCTATTTCTTGACCATACTGGAAAATTCTCAGCCATTATGCTCTCAAATACTCTTCTGTCCCCACTTATTCTATCTTCTCTTTCTGTAATTTCAACTAGATATGTTAGACTTTCTCTCTGTATCTCCCTATGTCTCTCTTCTGTATTCTTTTTTTTTCTCTTCTGTATTCTTATCCTCTTAAGTCTGTGATGCTTTCTAGATAATTTCTTCAGATCAACTAATAGAATTCACCAACTGCTAAACCTATTCATAACATTTTTGATTTTAGTTAATATATCTTTATTTTCTAGGTATTCTACTTGGTTTTTCTTCATTTTGGTCATTCCTTCATGTTCCCTATTTACATCAACAAGCTTGCTGTTTATTTCTTTAATTATATTAAATGGCTAATAATTCAAATACTGAAAGTCTTTTTAGAACTTATTTCTGTTGCCAATATTTTTAATGATTTTCACTAGTTTGATAATTATTTTTGACTGTGACTTACTAATTTTCCTTGAACCTATGATATGAAAGTTGAGAGATCTGCATTTGCTTCTCCTGGGCAATATCAGCATAGAACAACTTCAAACTGAATTTTCAACTTGAGATTTTTTTTTTTTTACTATCCAAATAGAATGAATTTGGGTTGCAAATACATGTGAAAAATGGCTTGTTATATATTCTCAAAGATTTTTTCACCTTGTTCCTTCAGAACCAGCATTTAAGATGGGAAATTTCTGGGCAGCCCGGGTGGCTCAGCTATTTAGCGCCGCCTTCACCCCAGGGCCTGATCCTAGAGACCCAGGATCAAGTCCCATGCCGGGCTCCCTACATGGAGCCTGCTTCTCCCTCTGCCTGTGCCTCTCTCTTTCTCTCTCCCTCTCTCTCTCTCTTTCTCTCTGTGTCTCTCATGAATAAATAAATAAAATCTTAAAAAAAAAGATAGTCAATTTCTTTATAGTGTTTAGCAGAAAGATCAGAGAGGTCTTGTTAGATTTTTTTAAATAACATTGTACCCATTTTTTTTTAAGTAAATCTCTATATCCAACAGGGGGCTCAAACTCCTAATTCCAAGATTAAGAGTTGCATGCTCTCCTGACTAAGCCAGCCAGGTGTCCCTAGATGTTTTTCATCTTTAGGTCATCCTAATAGTGAGGCTCTAATTTTTTGGAGTCTCTGCTTTCTAAGGAAGACAACTTCTTATCAGCTCCTTTAGGAGGCTTTGGGCTTAGGCCTCTGTATTCCCATGTCCTCAAAATTCATACTTTCCAATTCAGCAGATACCCCTAAGATAAAAGCCACAATTAGTGCTTCATTAAACCTATCTGGATTTCTGCTTCATTTAGGTTTTCCTGTTTTATTTTATAGTTGAATATATAGAGGTATAAGTTACATACAATAAACCTCACTTTTTCATAAACTGTCTCTGCAAGTTTTCACAAACATATTTAGTCACATAATTATCATCATAATCAACATACAGAGTAATTCCATATTCACTTAAGTTTTTGTCCTGACTATACTTTTCTACCAAATCTTCAGTGCTTAAAAATAATTTTTTAAATTTTTAAATGTTTTATCCAGCATCTTTGTTTTTTCATAAGAACAACTTAAAAGTACATAGTCTACCATATTGTCAGAAATGAATTACCACTCCCTGATACTTTATATATCTACTTGTTTATCTTTTTATTTATTCACTGCCTATTTTTTGTTTACTATCTTCCCTAATAGAATGTAAGCTCATGAGAGAAAGAACTTACTTGTTTTGCTCGCTACTATAGCCTTAGCACCTAAACCAATTATTGGAAATGGAAGGTGTTTAGTATTTGTTGTTGAATGAATAGTGTTACCTACTCTGAAGAAACTAAAACAGGGTAAGAGGCAAAAAGTAACAACACAATTCAAAAATTTCACATACTTACCATATTTGACTGAGGTTGCAATACCAGTCTTGCTTGTTTCTTTCTTTGTTTTCGGTAATAATTTTCAAATGTTTCTTCATCACCCTAAAGTAAAATTAGCAGAGTAATGAAACACACACACACTACAGAACAGATAATTTTTTTTTAGATTTACTTATTTATTTGAGATAGAGAGAAAATGATTGGAGAGAGAAGCAGAGGGAGAGAGAGAGAATCTCCAGCAGACTCCCCACTGAGCAGGGAGCATGATGCAGGGCTCAATCTCACGGCCCTGAGATGGTGACCTGAGCCAAAATCAAGAGTTCGATCCTGAGCCACACAGGTACCCTGACAGAAAACTTCTTTACCCCCAAGAGTCATTTTAAATCTTCTAACAAATGGAATATAAACACTGAAATGGTATTTCATACTGAATGTCAAGAATAAGTTTTTGGCTTTATAGCTCAAAAACAGTAATCTTGTTTGTTACCATGACAATTAGGAAGACTAAATGTAAATTCAAACAATTTGACAGTTGCCCAACTTAATATTAAGGTTTTGTAGACTTCTGACTGACCAACTCAAAATATGGCTATCTGTGAGGGAACTAAATAGAAATTCAGCTGTCAAGCTTAAACTTCTGAACATGTTGTAGAAGACCCTACATCATCTGGCACCTTCCTCCATTTCCTGCCTCATCTTATAGTATACTCAATATACCATTTTCTTCCTACTTCCAGGGCTTGTAGAAGCTATTCTTGAAACGTGCTTCCCAGTTCTTTTTCTCTATATGACTTTTATTTACCCTTCAGGACTCAATATAGATGTCACTTCCTTTAAAAGCCTTCCTCAACTTCCTGAGGCTTGTTTTTGTCTGTGTCCTCCCATAGCAACCTGCATATCCATATCATTGCACTTTTCGCACTGTGCAGTAAATTCTTAATTAGTAGTCTATCACAACATTGTCTAATGGCACTTTCTGTGATGATGAATATTTTCTATATCTGCATTCTTATAAGGTAGCCACTAGATAGATGTGGCTACTGAGCACTTACAATGGCTAATAATAAATACTGGGACCCTGAATTTTAATTTTTTTTAAATTTAAATAGCTGCATACAGCTAGTAGTTACCATATTGGATGACAAATATCTATCTTTACCACTGTAAGTCTGTTTAAATATTTTTTTTCTTTTTTTTTCTTTATTTATTTATGATAGTCACAGAGAGAGAGAGGCAGAGACACAGGCAGAGGGAGAAGCAGGCTCCATGCACCGGGAGCCCGACGTGGGATTCGATCCAGGGTCTCCAGGATCGCGCCCTGGGCCAAAGGCAGGCGCCAAACCACTGCGCCACCCAGGGATCCCCACTGTAAGTCTGTTAGAAGAAGGTCCTATCCAACTAGTTTACCACTGTATCCTTATCACTTTACACAATGTTTGGCACATGGAAGGCAATCAATTACTATTTGCTGAGTGAATGAATAATGACTGAACAAGTAAATGAATGACTATAGATAGATCCATTTTTTCTGTCTTCCTCTCTGCTTAAAGGATAATCCATCCAGAGTGAGAAGAAAAGGCTGAGAACCCATTTCCCTACTTAAGGCTCCAAAAGAGAATCGAATAGGGGAAAAAAGTAAAAACTCATATTTTCACTGAAAAAAAGATTTTTTTCTGAAAACTTTAATATTTAAATAGTTAAAAAAATTACTGCTCAGTAGGGAGCCTGCTCCTCCCTCCCACTTATGCTCTCTCTTGCTTTCTCTTGCTATCTCTCTCTCTCTCTCTCAAATAAAATATTTTTTAAAAATGACTTTTTAAAAAATAAAAAAATTAAAAAATGACTTTTTTTTTTAATGCCACAAAAAATAAACTCACAATGCAGAAAGTAAGTTTAGTTAGGTATCCCTTAGAGCAGTTCTTCTAGTTCTACTAGTATTCTAGTATTTTTGTACTCAGTTAAAAGAATTTCAAAAATACTATGGTCCCCCTCAGTTTTATTTTGGTACCTAAACTTTTTTCACCAGGAGTTTAAATAGATGTAAAGGATATAATTTCAAGTACATTATAAATAAAACTATTACATCCTCATTTAAACAATCCAATGGTTACTCACAATCATTTAAAAAATATGTGAACATGCTCTTCTCTCTCACATTTAAAACGTTTAGTTTTGTTTTCTGTTTTTTATTTTTTATTTTATTATTTTATTTTATTTATTTTATTATCTTATTTTATTTTATTTTATTTTTATTTTATTTTTATTAAGTAGGCTCCATACCTAGCATGGAGCCCAATGTGAGACTTGAACTCACAAACCTGAGATCAAGACCTGAGCTGAGATCAACAGTTGGACGTTTAACCAAGCCACTCAGGCACACATCCCCCACACTTTTTATTTTTATTATTATTATTATTACTATTATAAAGATTTTATTTATTTATTCATGAGAGAGGCAGAGACACAGGCAGAGGGAGAAGCAGGCTCCATGCAGGGAGCCCGATGTGGAACTCGATCCAGGTCTCCAGGATCAGGCCCTGGGCTGAAGGAGGCGCTAAACTGCTGAGCCACCCGGGCTGCCCCCCCGCCACACTTTTTAAACTTACATTCCAGACTACCACCCTTACAGATTTTTTTCAAATTTAACGTGTTATTTTTTTAATACTGTATTTATTTTTTTAAGTAAACTCTATCCCATATTGTAGGGCTCAAACTCATGACCTCAAAAGCAAGAGTAACATGACCTCAAAAACAAGATTTAGTACATAACTGATCAATACAACCTAAGTTTATTATGTTAAATTAATATAACCAAAAGTAAATTTTTATTGGAAATGAATATCTTAACATGATGAATGGGGCTTTTTCAGGAACTAACAACATACTTTAAATTTTTATTTATTTATTTATTTATTTATTTATTTATTTATTTATTTATTTATTTATTTTTTAAGATTTATTTATTTTATTTGAGAGAGAGACAGAAAGAGCACAAGCAGGAAAAGGGGCTGAGGAAGAGGAACAGGCAGACTCCCTACTGAGCAAGGAGCCCAATGTGGGGCTTGATCCCAAGACTCTGGGATCATAACCTGGGCCGACCAAGCCACCCAGGCATCTCAGCAACATACTTTTTAGTTAAAAACTCTAAGCTGCAGATTTAGTGTATTTAATTAACCAATAAATGCCCACCCTAAAACGTAATTAGCAAAGCCAGTCCTCACAGTCAAACTTTTAAGTCAATTGTATTTACTATCCCTCAGGAAAAGTCTAACTTCATGTTTCAAATTCAAATGTTAATATGCATTGTGGAACATTATGAAAACCATTGAGAAATAAATTATAAAATTACAAGAGTCATCAAGATTAAGATTATTTAAACTCAATGTGATTGTTTAATCCATTCATGAAACTTAAAAACAATATAATAAATCACTTATTACTTAACTGCTGTTTCTCTTTAATTTATAATAATGCAATGAAAAAAATGCAATGTAATATACACATAGAATTCTAAATTATTTACAAAAAGAGGAGTATGATAAAAAAAATACAATATGCCTTCAGTAAATATGTGGACATATATAAACCTTTGGTGTTAAATTTTGGAAATAAGAAAATAAAATCACGTATAAAAGTCAGGAACAACTCATTAATTTTGTTAAATATGGTGATCATTCTAGAAACTAATCAGTCTGGCAGCCAGCTTTTTTTTTTTTAAGATTTGATTTATTTATTCATGAGAGACAAACAGAGAGAAGCAGAGACATAAGCAGAGGAAGAAGTAGGCTCCACGCAGGGAGCCCAATGTGGGACTCAATCCAGGACCCCAGGATCATGCCCTGAGCCAAAGGCAAATGCTCAACCGCTGAGCCACCTAGGCGCCCCTTATTTTATTTTAATATGAAGTAAGAAATATCACACATGTAACTGGACTTCCATTTATGATACAATTTGGCAAAATGGCTTTTAACTGTTTTTCTGAATCACAACTTACATGAAAGAATGGTTAGTCAATATAACTTCAAAATTCTGGTGGCCCCAAAAAATACTCTAGTCATGTTTAAAAGATTCCACTTTACTAACTCATATCATTTTGGATGTTTAAAGGTTTTTCTTTACAGCAAATGACACATCCTAGGGATGTGTATTAAGATCAGCCAAAAGCACTGTTTATATTTAAACATATAGGATACAGTTTTGCTTTCAAATTTTCCTATGTTCTCACTTCTGTACTTCCATAGTACTCCCTCATAAAAGTATTATATATTCATTGTCAACAGCTGGAGAACAAAAGAGATCGGGACGTTAAATGAAAATTTTCACTACTCCCACTTATGTCATTACTAAATACCATGAATCAGAACTAAGAATATCCTACCACAGGACAAGATATAGTATTTTTAACATGGTTTACCCTTTTCTGCACAAGAAAAGAAAGAAACCCTTATGTATATAGTCCCTTAATTAATTATTAAAGGAGACTTCTCCTTTATTTGGCATCTTGGAATTTTTACACATCAAGATAATGCACAATGGTAGTAGTAATGATGGATTAATACTATGGGTATCAGTGAAGGATGTGTCTTTCTTTTATGAAGTAAGTATGGTAGCCTCCAAGATGGCTCCCAAAGATCTCTGGTGTAGTCTTGTTCCACATTCTACCAGGGCTGATGTATATGATCAGTAGGATATAGCCGAAGTAAAGGTGGGACAACCTGAGTGGCTCAGTTAGTTAAGCGCCTGACTCTAGGTTTCAGCTCAGGTCATGATCTCAGGGTTATAAGATAGAGCCCTGTATTGGGCTCCCCTCAGTGGGGAGCCTGCTTCTCTCCCTCTCCCTCTGCTCCTCCCCCCACTCATGCACATGCTCTCTCTCTAAATAAAATAAAAAATAAAATCTTTTTAAAAAAGAAGTATGGGATGCCTGGGTGGCTCAGCAGTTGAGCATCTGCCTTTGGCTCAGGGTGTGATCCTGGAGTTCTGGGATCGAGTTCTATATCAGACTCCTGCAGGGAGCCTGCCTGCTTCTGCCTCTCTCTCTCTCTCTCTCTGTCTCTCATGAGTAAATAAATGTATCTTTAAAGAAATAAAAATAAAAATTT